GAAACGCAGGACGGACACTCTTATATAATCTTACATTAAGATCATAGAAACCGTCTCATGTTATAAAAATCATATAAGATTCTTACGAAATCTTATAAAATCTTACCATAAGATCTTACATTAAGAATCAATTTCTATGTTTCTTACAGAATCTTACGAAATCAGACGAAATCGTACAAGAATCTCATAAGATCTTATGGTAAGATTTTATCAGATTTCGTAAGATTCTTATATGATTTTTATAAGATGAGACGGTTTCTATGATCTTATTGTAAGATTTTATAAGATTGTCCGTCCTGGGTTTCTATTTAATCGTCGTTTTTTATTAAATATCTTTCCGCCGTTCACTGTTTAATTGGATGATAAGCTTCTAGAGCGAAATAACTATAGAAGATTTTTTCTTCTGTGTCAATCATGTTGAATTGCAACGGACGTTCACATCTATCATTTCCTTACTGCTAGAGATCGCTGGATGATGATCGCGTGTATAAATACATAACCGCTTAATTTTAGTGTTAATGGCATGTGGTGGATTTTAGAATGAATTTGCTTGGTGTTTGATAAATACCAATCAGTAAACAACATTAATTTTCTCGAGTATTCGTGGTTTTTCTCCTCTGACCCGTTTAGTTGTTTCTGAACACTAGTTTTAACATCAGGCTTTTATTATAAATACATGTACAATATAAATATAAATGAGATGGCTTTGTCTTGTTCTTGTTACCGGCTTAACCTACTTTTTTATCCATTTTAGATTATCGTTCACGTTAATCTTTTTTAAATCTTTTTAATCCTAAAACGAGAAAATGGCCGTTGTTGGGCTCGATTTAGGAAATTATTCTTCTTATATCGGCGTTGCTCGTGCTGGCGGCATTGAAATCATTGCAAATGAATATTCTGATCGTCTGACACCGTGAGTTGTCATACTTAGAAGAACTACACCTTCTGATATATGCTGTTTTTCTTCGCAGAACTTCTATCACATTTGCACAACGTACACGTGCCATTGGCCAAGCATCAAAAGGTAGATTATCGTATCTATGTGTGCACGTTTTAACGTTTGTTGTGTATTTTAGCACAAGAAGTCACACATGCCAAGAACACAATATGTAATTTTAAACGTTTACTAGGACGAAAGTATCACGATTCTTTTGTAAAAAATGAAAAATACTTAAATGCTTACTCTATTGTCGAAGGAAGTAATGGCTCTGTTTATATCGAGGTATTATTATTGTCTGAATCGTCTTTACTAATTGCTTTGTATTCTATTCGTATTTTTTAGGTTGATTATCTAAACGAACGCAAACGTTTTACACCAGAACAAATTACAGGCATTATGTTTACCAAATTGAAACAAATATCCGAATCAGCACTATCTACGAAAGTTGTTGATTGTGTTGTTGGCGTATGTTCTGCTTTGTTTAAACAATACTTCTCTTGGATTTACATTGTTCCTGTTGTCTCAACAGGTGCCGTGTTATTTCACTGATGCTGAACGACGTGCTATGCTTGAAGCCATACAAATTGCCGGTTGGAATTGCTTGAGATTGCTTAACGAAACAACAGCTGGTATGTTCTCGAAGCAATTTACACATAATATTTAACGTTATCCGTTTTCTTATACTTTAGTTGCGTTATGTTATGGTATTTACAAAGCCGATTTACCCGAACAAACTGAGAAACCAAGATTAGTTGCATTTGTTGATATGGGCTATTCTGCTCTACAAACATCGATTGTTGCATTTAACAAAGGAAAACTAAGGGTATGTTTCTCGAAATTTGTTGTTGTACTAGGATATCTGTATATTCGGGCGTATATACCGTCTTTTTTATAAAATGGCTAACTCGACCTCCTCGAAACCGGAATAGTCGGTAGCCCTGCTCTTTTATTAATAAGTCCTTCTCTTGTGAGGCTACATTACTGTAGAATCAGTAAGCGCAGAGATTCTAAAAATTGTATGATGTTTTGTGTTTTTTGTTTAATTTAGATGTTAGCAACGGCATTTGATCCATCGCTGGGTGGCCGTGATTTTGATCGTGTTATCATGGATCATATGCGTGAAGATTTTAAACGTTATAAAGTTGATTCATACAGTACAACAAAAGCCAAACTACGTTTAAGAGCCGAATGCGAAAAGGCAAAAAAATTAATGGGTGCAAATCTACAACCGATACCAATTGCTTTAGAATGCTTTATCGACGATAAAGATGTGAATGGAAAAATTCAACGGTAATCAGCTTAACTGTTTCATTTAATGATATCATATATATTCTATTGGTATTTTAGAAGTGAATTTGAAGAATTATCAAAATCATTATTCGATCGTCTAAGAAATGTACTGGAAAGTCTTTTGAAAGAAGCCAGTAAGTCAGAAAGTATCTATGTGTTTTATGCTATAACAAATTTATCTTCTATAGAAGTTACTGCTGAAGATATTGAATCGGTAGAAATTGTTGGCGGATCAACACGCATACCAGCCGTAAAACAAATTGTTAGTGATATATTCAAAAAAATTCCAATGACAACAATGAATGCTGATGAAAGCGTTGCACGTGGTTGTACATTAATGTGTGCGATGTTAAGTCCAACATTCAAAGTAAAAGAATTTAAAATTGAAGATTGTCAACCGTATCCGATTACGTTATCATGGCATGGTGCAATCAATGAAGACAATGAAGTTGAAGTATTTAGTCGATGGAATAGCCTACCATCAACAAAAATGTTATCATTTTATAAACGTGAACCATTGACAATCGACGTACGTTACTCATATCCGAATGACATTCCATATTCTGAATCAAAAATTGGTACAAATTAACAATATCTTCCCAAAATCGAAGATAACTTACGAAGTTTCCCTATTGTTTAGGGCAATACTGTATTGAAAATATTAAACCACAACCGGATGGAACTCCATCGAAAATCAAAGTCAAAGTTCGTTTGAATCGAAATGGAATATTTGATATTACTCAAGCATCTATAGTAGACGCAACTGAAGGAGAGGGTACCATGAATGTTAGAAGATGGAAATAGTGTTGTTATGTATCTAGGAATAAATTTGCATTTAGAAGTAGCAATGGAAACAGATAAAGATGCTAAAGACGGCAAAGCATTCCAAACACATGCAGCGACGCAACAAAAGCCAACGTATCATTCACGGGTACATGAAATAAATGGCGGTGATCAAACAGCACCAAATGAACGCATGGATGAGGCAAGTTTATGATTTTCTTTTGCTCAGTTTTTTTCTTTTTCCTTTTTGTTTGTTTGCTACAAAGAAGAATTATTATAATTTGTTTAGGGCCGGTCGTTGCCCGCGGATGCTGGTGATGCTCAAAATGATGAAAAGGTGATTTTTCTAAATTTTGCAGTGTTGCTTTTTTGCATTTTGTTTTTAATTAATCTGAATATCTCAATGATTTGTTGTTCATTCAGGAGATGGATGACGACGATGGAGTCGAAAAAAAAAGTGATAAAACGAAGAAAAAGTCGCGCAAGAAAGAAATTGACCTTCCTATAGTATCACGTGTATCAGGATCAAACAGAAACGAAATTGACCGCCTTGTTGAATATGAAGCGAGTATTTCTTCCATTTTAATCTGAAAACGTTAAACTAAATTTTCTCATTTTTTTTTTAGTTGGGCATGATATCGCAAGATAAAAAAGAGAAAGAACGTTCTGATGCTAAAAATGCTGTTGAAGAATATGTTTATGATATGCGTGGTAAAATTGATAGTGGTGAATATGTAAAATATACAGATGATAAACATAAACAAAAATTATTACATGATCTACGTTCAACAGAAGGTTGGTTGTATGAAGAGGGAGTGAATCAAGAAAAAAATGTTTATGTTGAACGACTAAAAGCATTGAAAGTAAGATTGATTTCTAATAAACTTGTTGAAAATACGAATTATATTTGTCTTCTATCGTTTTGTAGAATCTCGGTGATCCAATCAAACATCGTTATCAAGAAGCAAAAAATCGTGGATACTATTTTCAGGAATTTGGAAAATCGTTGCAGCGTATTGATGAAGCTTTACAACAATGGAAAGCTAGAAATGAAAAATATTCACATATAGAACAAAGTGATATTGAAAAAGTACATAAACATCTAAAAGAAAAGGAACAGTGGTATGATCAATGGATGAATCGTACTAGATCACAAAAATTGCATGATGACCCACAAATATTATGTTCACAAATAAAACAAGAACGTGAAGTAAGGAACAGATTCAATAAGATAGTAAAATATGATAATAAAATAAGTAAAATTAAGTTAAACGTTCAAGTTAACTGTAGACAAAGCAAGAAATATTGAAACATCTAAAATTTATACTTTTGAATTAAGTGTAGTTGTCCTTGTAGCCGTTTTTTGCTGTTAGAACAATATGCGAAATTCTTCTTCTAGCTAGACTGGCTTATTGTTCAATGAAGCGTTGTGAATCTTTTAGACGTTTTTGAATAGGTATTTATGCTTTACTATTGTTTAGGCATTAGACAATTTTTGTTGGTCAATATTAAATAAACCAAAACCAAGAGTTGATTTACCGAAAGATGACGATAAAAAAACAGATAATCCAAAAGATAAAAAATCATCCCCATCGAAAAATCAAAGTCAACATCAACAACCGCACAAATCACAACCATCAATGGAAGTTGATTAAAATGGCATTTAATATACTTCTGACATGCACATACTCAACGAATACTAACATTATTTATCGCACTTTTCACGACATATTAGAAAAAAATGAAATTTTTTTTTGCTCTTATATTCAAGAAAAAGAATTTCCGGCTTTTTATTTATTAAGTTGATAACTTGAGTTTAAATTTTTCTTTTTTGTTGATTCTTTTCTGTGTTTATAGAGCTAAGACTAATATAAATTATTCCGAAAATGGACTGTATAGTAAACTGTTCTTCCGTAAATGTGCTCGAATTTCTTTTTTTTTATGTTTCTTTGTTGCTTTTCTAGACAATAACAAAATTTGTGCCGTATGGCTATAATTTTCTGCTAAACTGAGCATGTTCGCTCCATCTTTTTTTTTCACTGTGTTATAACATTGCTTAGAAATCCATACGCATAACATTTTTAAAAAATGAATAAAATTCATTCCTTACGTAGCTAAAATTTATAAAGCGAATTTAGCAAAAAAAGATGGTCCTAAACATCTATGATAAAGAAATCTAAAAGAAAAGGCAGAGTGCGAATGAACTCTTGTATAAGAATATTATTTTCGTAATTTAACATGAACAAAGTTGTCCAAAAGTAAATATGTCTGCCAGAGGTGCAACCGGTATCGGTATACCGGTACTGGTACGAATTATAACGCCGACCGGTATACCGGCATTAGTATGAAGTATAATCAGTCGGCCGATATTGCTGATATTTTGCGGTATGATACGATTTTTTTCGAAAAACATCGTGTAAATTCAGTTCATCTGTGACATACTTCTTCCACTAAAATTTCATTCCAACTACTTACACTTTGTCAGCTTATGCAACCTTCTTAATTTAAAAGAATGAATTGGATTGCTGTTTGCGTAAAAAAAAGCGTGTGAAAAATCAGCTGTACATAATCCAAGTGGAAAGATTAATCTATCCTTTTGATAACATAAAACACAGTTCACAGTAAAGAAAAACAAGGAAAAAGTATTTGTATTTAGGCAAAATATGATCAAGACAAGCCGGTACCGGTACGAAGTTTGTATACCGGTGACCGGTACCAGTATCGCATTTTTGATACCGGTTACACCCCTGTACTGCAGTATTTTGTCATGATATACTGCAGTTTTTTCTTTTCTTTTTCTTTTTATTGACAATACCCATGAGGAAATTTTAGCGACTTTTCACGCGTGAGGGACCGTGAAATGTCAGCTTGGACTTTCACGAAATTTTGTAGGTAAAGACAGCAAGTTTCACGACAGTTTGGTCGTGTTGTTGCAACATCACACGCGTGGCTACGCGTGAAAAATCTTCACACGTGTACATAAGTGAACAATCTTCACGCGTGATTACGTGTGAAAAAGTCTTGACCATGCCGACCATCTATAGTCAACTGACTATATATGGTCAAGGTGTATAATGCAGATTTCATCAATGCAACTCCATCTATAACTTTTTCCACGTGTGACCACTAGTTTCTAAAATATCACATTTTATATATATCACCGCAAAGTAAGAGTCAAACCAGGGTACTTTGAATTAGAAATACTACTAT